TTCATGAATGCTTTAAGATTGAGCACTTTTCATATAGCTGGGTGACTTGGGTCACGAGATACAGACCAAGACGTGGACCCGGGTAAACTTAGGCTGTATTTGTTTAATATCGGCATAAAATGAAAGCTGTTATGTCAAAAGTATGCGGAAGCAAATAAAAAAAAAATTAAAAAATTCATGAATACCGTTTTAGTGAAAAATAAAATTGAGTAATGCGGACAGTTCTTTAATCTTCTTTAATATAAAAATTAATATAAAAATAAGTAGGGTTTTCCTTCCTGACGCTATAACTCCAGAACGCACGAACCGATTTTCACGGTTTTGCATTCGTTGGAGGTTTATAGCTAGGAAAATTCAGGAAAAATTTCAATAGAAAAGTATATGGTGTGTGAGTATCCCCCACGAAAATAAGTATGTTTCATTTAAAGTAGATGGTGCCATTGTTTAACAGCTATTCATTGTACTTTGCTCAGTTAATTTCATGTGACACTAGCGAATACCCGGCGTGCTTCGCTGCGCCTTAAAAGTAATTTTGTTTTGTTACTCCCTCTCACAACATTTGAAAATATTATTTAATATTGCTGTACATATTTGTATAGTAGGGAGATTTTTTCAAATTATATAAATATACGTTATTTGAATATTGAATCAATACACGTTTGAGGAAAGGGTGCGATAGTAGACTCCAGTTATAAGATTATAAATTAAATTTCCAAGAGAAAGTCGGTTCTTTACATATTTTCTAATTACCTTCGAAAATATATTAACTCAAAAAAAAAATAAACAATGCTTCATAGATCGATTTTTTTAAATCTAACTTCATAAAGTTCTTTAAAAATATTTTGTAAATGAGGCCATAAGAGCTTAGGGGGAGAGTTACAACACAAAAATACATTTAAGGCGCAGCGAAGCACGCCGGGTAATTGCTAGTTTCTTTATAAATAGTGGAACAACTTTTTGGGAAACATCTCTAATCTGAGTTTTGCTCTGAATTTTAGTCTTACAACAAATAAATGAATGCCATTTGCAGTGGCCGCAGTGCCACTCTCTCTCTCAGCTGTTTTCCGCTTAGTTGTGGGTGATACTCTTATTAACATTGGAGGAGTTGCTAACTTCACTGCTAGACTCTTATCGTCATGTAATTCATACAGGGAGAGCTGTCAGCTTCATTGCTCTTTATCGCGATGTAACATTCGTAAATTTTTTTTTGTTCGAAGCTAGCACGCAGCCACGCTGGTTTGATGGTACGATCAATAATTAAGGCATGAACAGCAAACAGTCATGTAAATCTGGCTTTCTTGTACCCACTTAATAGGTTGAAGAAAAAGGCTTACAACTGGAATATATCGCCTGTTCATTAGCAAAATGTATATCAGCAATACAACTTTTCCTTCTTCTAGTCCATTAATTAGTTTTTTGCAAAAAATTTAAACCACCTCCGGCGCCATGGCGTATGAGTGTCATTTAACTCATACGCCAAGTCTACCATACAACTTACAATACTTAGTAAACTCTTGGTTATTAAATTGCAATTTGTTAAAATTTTCACTACAAAAATCACCGCACTTCAACTTATCATTTTGAATATAAGAAATCTATCCGCGCAGCTTCAACCGAGCGTGGATTCACTCAAGCCGCTTAAGCTCACAAGTACAATTCATGACGCGAAACTCAAAGCCAGAATACCGCAAACTGAAAATAAAATAGCGTACAAAAGTTTCAAGCTTAGTACCCAGCTAAAACATAATAAAAAGCCTTGCGGATAACCAAGTAAAAAAGTATCTAGAAAAAAATTGAGGAAAAATTGTGAAAAAGTTAAAATTTGTTGCGCTTCATGGCGTGGTGGCATAAAGAAGGCAAACATTATTTCCGCTAGTGCTCGTGTACTCATTCGTTTAGCAGTGATAAAAAATATACATACGTATATTTTACACACTGCTGTTGATGCAAGAGATGTAACAAAAAGTTCATAGAAAAAAGGCAAAAATAAAAAAATATATATATGCAAAAACAATGCGATGTAAAAGCGCTAGCAAAGAATTTATTGCCAAGTGTCGAGAGTGTGTGCCGCTTCAACTACATACATATGTACATAAGTGTGTACGAGTATTGCAAGAAAAATCTGTTGGATGCTGGCACTCTGTTGCTTTAGCTTACGGTATTTGTAAGGTTGTTACAAATGCTTACAAATATCAGTATATATGCGCATATATGTATATATGTATGTACATATATATTTACACTTATGAAGCTTTAGCTGGGGGAGA